CAGCCCTTGTTTTTAATCTAGAAACAAAATGGGAAAGAACAGGATAATGTATTTCAGTTAGCATACTGCTAGAGCACACCAGGGGTACAGTCAGAGGCAAGGCCTCGCTCGGCTCTGGGATGAGTGTCTGCACAGCTCAGGCAGTATTTCAAGGCGGAAGCCCAGGGCCTCGGCTTTTGTCACTTAGGGAAACTTGAACAGGCTTAAATGAACTGTGGAATACGTGTTGAAGGCCTTTTAGGAACCAAACTGATGTCCTAGAATGTTCAGCCATTGCCTAGTGACTCAGTTCCATCACCCCAAGCTGTGGTCACTTTCTGGAAAGCATCTGTAAAAGGAGCTTGAGGGTCGCCTGGAACACTAAGGTCCTTAATGTACCAGGGATGATTAGAAGTCACAGGTGGCTCTGTGTGACTGCAACATATAGCTCGTGGAAAAGTCACCTCCCTGCCTGGCACTCCTGTTTGGTTCCTGCTGTTTACCCATTCAGAGGTGATAGTGTTGTCCCCAAACCTCTTATTGGGAAGGAAGGGCCTTCATTGCAACAGCTAATCCTTGAAAGCAGCTTTATGACTTTGTGGTTTTCAAATCTGTATAGCTTTCAAGCAGAAATAAGAGAGACTAATTACTAGTCATTAATATTAATGGAAACTGCTAATCATAAGTCTTCCTGGCTTCAGGTTCCATTGTTGATAATAAATCCTAAATTAGTCAGATTTTATTATAACAAATCATTTGATCCTGTATAGCCAGTTCTGAACCCTTACTTAACTCTATTAAAGTTAAATCTGATGCAAGCTCCCTTCTTATAGACTACTTTGTTAACACGACACTGGAAGCCCTAATGACTTCATTTGCATCCCTTTGCTTAGCGTGTTTGGATTTCTGTATGTGTAGGGTAGAATCCAGTCCCAGAGAAGCTGTCGTTCACTTGGCCGGGGGAGCGGGCGACTATGAAGCTATGCAGCTGGAAGCTTTAACCAGTCCTCTCTTCAGGTTCATCCTCTTCCTTCCTCTGAGAAAGATGGTCTTCTGGAAACGTGTTTTTCTGGGGAGCTTAAAAGCTGCCACGCTTAATTGTGGAAGTAAAAGCTATTGACTTTAGTCCCTTCCATGTGCTGTTTTTAAAGCACTGAGCCTTCTCTCCCCTTTTATCCATCTCTAACCTGTTCATAAAATAATATTTATGAAAAGATAGGCTTTATGTTTTTACCTTCCACTTAGGCATATAATTTACTGTCTGTTAAACATGTTGATAAAGTTATGCTTTATGAGTTTTGGAGTGATAAAATTGTTTTCTAGGGGGTCAGTTTGCACACAGTCAGATTACTTTCTTACTCATGGGCATTAATCCATGTGCACTTGTGTGCATACGTGTGTTTGTGAGTGTGTGCTCAGTTCCTGAGTTAAGGCTTCGTGCATTCAGGGAGATGTTCTGACACTAAGCTCCAGCTATGGCCCTATCTTTGTGCAGTTTGCATTTTGATGAGATGCTATTTTATTATTTTCTGCTTCTTTTTGTTTGGTTGATCTTTTTAACTTGAAACTGAAGATGGGAAAATGTATAACCTTGACCCGTTAAGAGTTTCTGGATCCTGTACAAGGAATTGAGAAGGAAGTAGATTAGAACCAGAGGCAGTGTGAGTCTGCGGGTCTTTAGAGGGTGGGTGGCTTACAGACCAAAGGCCACCAAGGTCAGGGACCCTGAGGTTTTTTAGTGATGGAAGATGAGCAGGCTTCTTGGGTGATGAACCAAGAGAACACTTCCCCTTTCCCAAATGAGGTGAAGTAGTAGAATTCTAATTTAACTTACTTTGAAAAGCAGCTGTAGAAGTCTTACATTGTCACTATTCAATGAAGGTGGGTCTGGACCCTCTGTTCTGGGCTGAGAACTTTTCCTTGTCAGACTAAAGAATACTCAGGGAAAGACAGAGACAAAAACCAAACCAAAGTGGTCTTCTTCTGCAGCTGAGATTCCTGTAGATGTTGTTGTCATAATTTTCTTGGGTGTGGAAGAGCTAGTGACTCAGTAGAAGGAGGGCTCTGAGTGGGAAAATTTGAACTAATCAATAATTAAGTCTTATTTTTGTTTGTTTGTTTTGAAACTGGGTCTTTTTTATATAGACTAGGCTGGTCTTGAACTCAGCCTGTCTGTGCCTCCCAGTACTTGGATTAAAGACATCAGCACACAGCTAATTTTTACATCTTTGATTAGAATGTAGACAAAGAAAGAGGTACTTTTTTTTTTCTAACCTAAATTAAAAGATGGAGCCAGAAGGAGGGGATGGATGGGTGGATGGATGGGTGGATGGATGGATGGGTGGATGGATGGGTGGATGGATGGATGGATGGGTGGATGGATGGGTGGATGGATGGGTGGATGGATGGATGGGTGGATGGGTGGATGGATGGATGGATGGGTGGATGGATGG